TTCTGAGGTTGGGGGGGGGGGGGGGCTGATAAGGGGCTAGGTTTTAATTCCTAATATTCCTTATATAGTGCTTGGCCCTAAAATTAGGGTTTGGACACTCTGAACGTACGATGGGCGTACTTCTCGTACGCTGGGCGTACGTCTCTCCGCACCCGCGTCCATATGACATTATACGCTGGGCGTAACCCAGCTTACATTGGGCGTACCCAGCTTAACACACACATGCATTCAATGCATGCATGGGGCTGCCTTGTCACAAAACTCCGTAAGGGACTAAAATCGACAATAACTTCAAAGTACTATATCTTCTTCGTTCTAAGTCTGTTTCCGACGAACTCCATACACAAGCCTTTCATCCTTCCGAATAAACACGCGACCCATAAAAGTCCGAATCCTCAGATTACGCTTAAACCCTTAGCCTTCGAAGCCACAACCGAACACTTTCTAAACCGAGTGTTACAAAAGGACTGTGCAATAGTACTAGATTATAGATTCTAATGCTTGGAAGACACATCATTGAAGCCCGAATCATATCTGGTATATTCTCCAACAAGACTACTTATATATCTCGCATGAAGTTAACTTCGTCTAATAAAGGAATCTTATTCCATTTTCAGCGGAGGCAATTCTCCATAGTTGTTGTGTTTGCTATGACCATTAACAAAGTTAAGGACAATCATTATCAAATGTTGGATTATACTTGCACAAACATGCATTCATTCATGGTCAGTTATATGTCGTTGTTTCCCGTGTCACAAAGAAAGGTTTGAAGGTACTCCTATGTGACGAGTAGGTCATTCAACTGATAAAACAAAATATGTTGTCTACAAAGAGGTCATTCAACGATTATAGATATTTACCGATTTCACTGTATTTTCTAGACATTTCAATATTACCAATAACGCAAGTCTGTTTTCTATTACTATATATATATATATATATATATATATATATATATATATATATATATATATATATATATATATATATTGTGCATCAGTTTTATACGTTTATATGTATTTTTATGCGTTCACTTGCATCTTACGCTAGTTATAATCTAGTAATATTTATACTTAATTTATATATAAAAGTTCAACTATTTTGAACAATCTTAATTTATATATATTATTCAATTGTTTCTGTCTGCAGATTGAATATAAATAAAATTAAATATAAATCTTCATTCGATTTTATTTTTAATTATTATTAGAATTTAGTAATTTACAAATGACTTATCTGATCATCTTTTAATTTCACTCATGATGATTATGTAAAATAAAAACTACTTTTTAAAGAAACGCGATATAATTTATAATTTTATGTTACTATACATTATTGTGATTGTTAATAAATTTTAAAAAGATAATCAAATTATCAATGGTATTTTTACAACAACAAAAAAAAATAATGGTTTTTCATGTGAAAATTTAAAATATAAAGTAAAATTTTAAAAATTGTCCAACATAAATAAGAAATGATTTACTTGTTATAATGTTTTACATTTGGAGGTGGGGAAATAAAATAGGGAAAATAGCACAAAAGTTACTAAGTTTACATCAAAATTCTAATTTGATACTGTGTTTTTTTCTCAAATTTAACACCGTGTTTTTCAATTTGTTACAATTCTGACAACTTGACCAGTCAAGTCAAACCGGTTGCCTGCCGACATGACATGTTGACATGATATGCTGACGTGTTAAAAAAATGTTACAAATCACTAAATTTTTTCTTTTTTTCAATTTTAACACTAAGTTTTCATTTTTTTTTCAACTTTAACACTCAGTTTTTTTTGTTCCAAATTAATCATTATTTTTTCAATTTTCTTGTGAAACTCCATTTTTTTGTTCCAAATCGGACATTATTTTATTGTTCCATTTGAAACCGTATAAATATTTTTTTTACATTTGAAACTGTATAAATATTTTTTTTTCATTTTAAAACCATAATTTGTATAAATACATGGTTTTCACATTCAAACCATAATGTTATGTATAAATATGTATTAAATATATTAGAGTCGTATTTTTCATGTACTATTGTAATGTTAAATGAAGAAGAAGTATATCTGCAAGAATCAAAAATCACGAATATATACAACGAATAGTCCCTTGGTAATTAAAGTGAACATCGGATCGTCGTGTTCCCGAGATCAAATTAGTTTATCTGATTGTGCACTCTACATCTCCAAACTTATTTTAAAGTTGCGTATTTAATGTAAAATACGGTTATAATATAAGTAATACCTATTTATACATAACATTATGAGTTGAATGTAAAAAACTTTATATTTATACAAAAATATGGTTTTAAATGAAAAAAGAATAATTATACGGTTTTAAATGAAAAATTATCAATACTGATCAAAATTAGAAAAAATGATGTTCGATTTGGAACATCATTTCCACAGATGTTGTTTTCAAAATAATTAGTTTTGCCATCTAGAAAGGGCTAACGGCGCAGCTTGTTCTCCGTTTGTCTTCCATCGATATGTATTGAACTATATTAGTCGTATTTTTAATGATATATCGATATACAATCAAATGGTAATAAAAAATCAAATATTTATAAAAATTTATTAAATTACAAAGATATTTGGGACAAAAAAAAAATATATTGTCAAATTGAAAAAAAAAAACTTAATGTCAAAATTGAAATAATTGAAAGCTTATGGTCTTTTGTGAAAATAATTTAATTTAACACGTCAGCATTCATATCAGTATGTCACATCATCAAAACTAGCACGTCATCATGCCACATCAACATGTAACCGGTTTGACCGGTTAAGTTGTCAGAATTGTAACAAATTAGAAAATACAATGTCAAATTTGAGTAAAAAAAACACAGTGTCAATTTGAATTTTGATGTAAACTTAGTGACTTTTGTGCTATTTTCCCAATAAAATATGGGTTTTGTTTTCTGATTTTTGCGAAAACCGGAATTTGACGCATATTTGGAGATAAATCCAAAAAAGCAACAAACCAAATTAGATGAATGTGATATACTTGAAGTTTGTCCACACATTGTAAGCATTTGTAAGTTTGTACCTAGAGGGTGTTAATCGGGTCGACTCAATTGGGTTTCAGGTTAATCGGGTCGGTTTAGTCAGGGTTTTTTAAAATAAAATTTATCCAAAATCCGACCTTATTAAGCTACAGGTTACTCGTGTTCGGGTTAATCGGATATCGGGTTAACCAGGTTAGTCGAGTTCATCATTAATTATCCATATAGTGAACTTGAGTGTTAAAGGAAATTATAATGATTAATTAACAGTACGTTGATGAGGGAAAAAGATTACACAAGTTGTTTGTACTAATTATTTTATTGAATATATTGCAAAACCCTTTTAGTCTATGGTGAAAATCACATCTACATTGCTAACATGGTTCGATGTGTCTATTGGTTATGGTACTTGGCTATACTCTCAAGAATAAATTATGTATAATTAATATTAGGATGTAAAAAAAAGTTGAAGCTAATGTTTTTTAGTATTTGATTATGCGTATGAAAATCAGCTATAGCTTGTATGCAAAACAATAAATAAAAACATCGGCTAGTAATAATTTTTTTTTTACTCCATGGAAACACTCATAAAGTTCACCTTGATATATTTCATATAACAACGAACAAGGGTTTTGAACGTGGACAACAAGAAATAGTCAAACTTTTTTCTTTTGAGAAGACGTATTTGTGTCACTTAATATATATAGTCTCAAGAAGTTACATCATATATAAAACTTTAAGTTTGTTGAAAGGATTAATTACTTTTATTAGGGTTAACCCGAAATAAATTATATAAATCAACCCAAAACCCAATCCTATATGTATATCGTTTGTTGAGACTAACCCGATTTGACTTCCTGATGTATTTAACCAAACCCCATTTATCTTATTTGGGTTCAGATCGGGTCGGGTTAGTCAGATTCGGACATTTTTGACACCCCTATTTGTAGGGGTGAGCAAACCCAAACCAAGAAACCGAGAAACCGATTAAAACCGACGAAACCGAAACCGAAAAAACCGAAACCGAAGCAAAACCGACGGTTTGGGTTTAAGTTTTTTAAAAACCGAAAAATCGGGTTCAGTTTCGATTTTTACCCAGAAACCGACCCATCCAACCCGAGAAACCGACCCATACTTAAAACCGACAAACCGCCCCAAGAAACTGACCCATCCAACCCGAGAAACCGAACCATACTTGATTGTGTTTTGGTTGTAATAGACTATTTCGAGCTTTGGTTGTAACTTGTAATACACTATTTGCTGCAAGCCTCATGTTTTTTGAATTATTTAACTTAAATTTGGTGTTTTTTGAAGTATTTAACTTGTTGCTTCATTTATGGAAAATGGGTTAAAACCCAAAACCCATGGGTTTAAACCCAAAACCCATGAGTGTATGGGTTGAACCCAAGAAACCGAAAAACCGCCCAAACCGACCTCAGAACCCGAAAAACCGAACCGACCAGAAACCGATCCTATTGGGTTCTGAAAACCAGAAACCGACCATTTATGAGTTTGGGTTGGGTTTGGGTCCAAAACCGACCCAAACCGACCCATGCACAGCATTGCCTATTTGTACCCTACTAACCAATTTTAGTCTGTAAATAATCGCTTTTTAAATGAATAAAATTCATCAGATAAAAGATTGAAAATGTGAAGGCTTTTCTAAAATTTAATCGCTTTTTAAATGAATAAAATTCATCAGATAAAAGATTGAAAATGTGAAGGCTTTTCTAAAATTCAGACGCTTTTTAAATGAATAAAATTCATCAGATGACTGAAAATGTAAAGGCTTTTCTAAAATTTGCCCGTTTTAAAATACAACACAACCAAACAAACACTACACAAGTTGCTGCACACTACACAATTGCAAACCTTTTAACAACTACTCATCAAGATAATATAACAATTCAATAAACAAGAGAAAAAAAAAACACCAAGAATTTATCTTATCAATACACTTAATATAGCAAGTAACTTTCTGGTGTCACAACAAAAGAAGGTCAAATCTTGACCTAATAGTTAAAAGCAGCACAAAAAATCACAAATACATTGGATTTTATTTTCTCTTATGATAAGAGCACGATTTTAGGTTGATTACCAGACCTCAGGGCGAAGTTCACCAGTTGCAGGAGGCATCCATCTTCCAGAGTTATAAACACTCTCACCAACTTTCCACCCTGGCACATCTTTCATTATCCGCGCCTCTTCTTCTAAATATTTCCTCCATTCTTTCACAAATCTAAATCACAAACCAATCAAAATTTTAAAATAAATTATATCCCAATTTTTAAACAAGAGATGACCATTTGTGCTTCCTTACCTTTCATCCTCTTCTGCTTGTAGCATTGGCAAAATTGCCCTTCGGGCAGCATACTTTTCCTCCTTTATTGCCCTAAATGAATCAAAAGGATGCAATTTATACAATGATTGTAGTAGCTATTAAGTTTCATCATACCAAAATAACATGTCCCACAAACGATTCCATACAATAACTTTGGAATTTGCGATTTCTTGTAATGGCATTGGAGATATGATCTGCTTGGAGACTACTACGATTCAAAAACAAGAACACATGATTTCAATTCCTCAAGACTCAGAAGTTACAATGATTTTTTGTTACAAATTTGTAGTATTTGTCATATGCAATCATCATTTTCTCTGGTAAATAACCAGATATTCATATCGATCTTTGAATGTGAACACCAAGAAAAGATGAAAGGTAGCTCTCTAAGTAATATGCATCGTCTCTTGTATCATCCATCCAATTTCTAAACCTAGAAATGATCCAACTACAGTTCTGAAATTCGTAACAGATCCGATACAATTTTACTTTTCGATCATCAATTAGAATACTACCTACCTTTAATCGCAGTTCCATTAGACAATAGATGCTTGAAAAAAAGAACAAGGGGTTTCCGGAAATCGAGATACTTACCTACGGATTTTGTTGCCCTTGCCGACCTGATACATACCCCAAGAGAAAATGCCGAAAGTAGTGAGGAATATGGCGACGGCGCTGGGTCCTTTAGACGGGATCCTCCGTGCGTACCTGACCGGCGCAAAACCGCCGGGAGGAGGACCGTCTTGGAGAAGTGGCATGTCTTTGACGCTCGCCATTCCTGGCTTGTTCCTTATGAAGGCCTCTGTCATCGTTCTTTGCTCACAGATTTGCCCTCTCTTTCTCCAAACTTTTGCCAAAATACACGAACCTGTTGAACTGGAGATTGGAAAGAGAGACTAGAAGTAGAAGTTTTCGGTTTTGACATGGAGGTACATGGACTCACGGAGGACACGTCTAACTTGCGCACATGCTAACGCTAGCCTCGCTAACCTGCGCATCTAAGTTTTGTTGAACAATTAAAGGTATTTCTAAAAAAAATAAATAAATAATGGGAAATATACTTATCATGGTAATTAACTTTTCAGTTTGTTTACATCTGCATAACTATTTTTTTTGTATACATCTAGATAACGAACTTTTTGGAAATGTTAACATATGACCATTATGACCGACCATAGCAGATTATATCTCGTCATAATGGTCATATGTGAACACTTCCAAAAGTTTATTACCTAGATGTGTACAAAAAAAAATAGTTACCCAAAATTGAACAAACCGAGAAGTTAACTACCCTTATAAGTCAACTTTTTTTTTACCTTTTAATTTTGTTTTGGTATAAAATTTAACCCAAATAGTAAATATTTTTAAAACCATACCATTTAGGTAAATATCATTTTAAAATACACTACTTTGTTAAAAAAATCTCTAGATTTGACATGGAAAAAAACACATCATCGTTTTATAGAATTTATTGTTTAAGATATTAAATATAAAAATTTAAATTTACTAGAGACTAAAAGTATCAGAAATGAAAACCAATAATATCAAAATAAAAAAAAATAATAAAAAAAAACATCGTTTGATGAGTTAAAGCTTAGAATGTTGTTAATATAGTTTCAGGTTTTGATTTGCATTTCAAGTTATGGTTTTCAATTGATCTAGTTCTCCAATTTTTCTTTCCGGTATCAATTTTCTTTTCCTGCAAGGATTGTGATGCATTGGGTTGTGGCAGTGGATTGTGGTGATGGTTCGTCGGAGTTGAAGGACCTAAAAAAGAAGTGATGTGTAACACATGTTGGATAAGGTGTCTAAGTCCATAACTATATTTGGTATGTATTTGACCCGACCCGGCATGGTCCATTTGGGTTGCACTTCACCGGAACAATTTGTATGGATAGTCTTTTGAGAATAGTATATTTATGATTTATTAATATATTATAAGCTATAATATATTAATATGAAATCATATTATTTAATTAGTATTGATCAAGAATTAATTTGGAATTAATTTAGTGATAAAAAAGAAACTAATTATATATATATATATATATATATATATATATATATATATATATATATATATATATATATATATAGAATGGGCCAATGTTCATTTAGGATGGGCTAAGCTTGCATGGAAGTCCATGGATAGTCCATGGAGCTTTTAACCCATGGATCCTATGGAAATGAAATGTCATGGGTATTAGGGTTTACATGGATGTAACCCTAATCCACCATACTATATAAAGAGGTATTTGGCACTTGAAATGGCACTAGTGTGTGAGATAACAAGAGTGGGCCGATTTCTAGAGTGCTTCATATTCTCTCAAAGTCTTCCAAGTTGTTTTGGTGATTTGTGATTCCACTTGAGGCATTCACATTATTGGTGCTAGGCTCTTGAAGCTCCAAGCAATCAACCACAAGGAATGGTATGCCATTCTACTAGTTTTTATATTACAAGTACCCCATGATATGCTAGTTAGGATGAGAACCTTGGAAAAATCAAAATTTGCATGTATAATAGAGAAAACATAGATCCAAGGTTTCTAAGGTTGCATGTACACCATAGGAGTGTTAGAATGCTCAAAACCCATCAGTGGTATCAGAGCCTAGGCTTTTTTCATTATACTTGATGCAAATTGCTGAAAAAAGTCGAAAATTTGCTCACTGTTTAGTGAACTCGCCGAGTCCATGGGGGGACTCAACGAGTCCAAGTGAAAGTTTATCCTACTCGTCGAGTAGGTTCTTGCACTCGGCGAGTAGGAGGCCCAGAGTGCAGAATTTCGAGTTTTAATGCTGGAATTGGACTAGAATCATTACCCTAAACTGTTTTGGTGTAAAATCCATAAATGTTACGCCAAATTTAAACTTTTCAAGCATAAATAAAACCACATAGTATATGTTTACAAAAGTGTTTTCAATTCATTATTCAATCAGAGTGTCCCAAAAGCCAGATCACAAGGATGAGGAGCGGTACGGTCATGCCTTCGCCTTGCCATGAACTCCAGAAGTACCTGAAACAATAAACTGAAAACTGTAAGCCCCAAGGCTTAGTGAGCTACCCCCAAAATACCAATACCACAATGATAATACCATATCCATAATAATCAATCAATCAACATGCATACTGGGCCATTGGCCTGACTGGACCGCCCTACAGGGCCTACAGTCCAACTGAATCTATACCGAGCCTTCGGCATGACTGGACCGCCACGTGGGCGTACAGTCTCCCCGGGCCGCTCATAGGGTGTGTTGGCCTTCAGCACAGAGCAGGACCGCCTCAACCCAAGCAACAAGCAATTAATCATGTGCGCATAACTAACATATACTGGCATATACAATCATCAAACATATCTATCTCACTGATCACCAAACATAGCAATCACTCATAACTAGAGCACCGACCTAGCAGGTCACTAACATATTAATCCCTACGGATCATAAGAGCATAACATACTGTCTATCCTGATTCCGTTCTAACAGATCATATCCACATATAACATACCATAACGATAACAACTAAAGGGCCGGCCTTGGTGCCTTAGACCCCATCGATATAGTGAGGATAACTCACCTCGCAGATGTCGACTCGGCAGATAAACCCTTACTCTTGAATCACTTGACACATGCTCCACCACCTAATACCATAACACAATATACTCATAAGTCCTTAACCTTATAAGGTACTCCATAAACCAACTAGTCAACCCCTGGTCAAAGTCAAAGTCCTCAGTCAAGGTCAACAGTCCATGTTGACCTTAACTCGCCGAGTACCCTCAGCTACTCGCCGAGTTCCTACGATTTTCAATCGAAACTCTAAGGCCACCCGCCGAGTTTCCTTCTTGCAACACGACGGATACACACACATTCATAACTTGGGGAAAACTCATCCGACTCGCCGAGTTGTTCATACAACTCGTCGAGTCTATGGCAATCTTCATAGGACTCGCCGAGTTGTTCATCCAACTAGTCGAGCTCAAGGCCATCTTCATACGACTCGCCGAGTCAACCTTGTGACTCGCCGAGTCCCTTCAGTCCTTAAGCCATACATACTCATTTAAGCCATGCAGTGGCTCCAAATTACAGATCCAAGCTTCTAGGGCATGCTTTTCACGTAAAGTTGCAAACTTTACGTGCATGCATGACTATTAAGGCTCTTAATGCGAAAACTAAGCTCTTAATGGGGCTTCATGCACAAGGAGGGCCTCATTCTCGACCAAAACAAAAACTTTATGATTCTAGAACTTGGGAAGGGTCCAGATCTGAAGTTACAACTTCAGATCTAGTCCATAGCCCATCTTATCAACTCAAGGTCCATAAAAAGCCCCCAAAACTCAACCATAAAAAGGTCTAAAAGGGAAAGAAGTAGAAGGCAATTGGATACCTCAAGAAGATGCTAACTTAGGTATGATCTGATTCCCACACTTCCTTGCTCCAATTTCCTTGCCTTCCAAGCCTTTCCTCTTCCAAGAAACTTCTTTCCAAGCTTAACACACACACAAATAGGCACAACACGAATTAGGGTTTTCTTAGGAACTCTCCAGAACTGTAAAGAGACCAAAGGAGGCTGAGGCTCCTTTAAATAGGGTACAAGACCCCGGGATTTAGGGTTTCATTTGCCAACTCCTACTCGTCGAGTCCCTTCATGGACTCGGCGAGTAGGTCACTAAACACGCGATCCCACCCCGCTGCTACTCGACGAGTAGGGCAACCAACTCGTCGAGTAGGACATAAAACCAAATAACCTTTTATTTAAATCCATACCTAAGAATCGGGGCGTTACAATTCTCCCCCACTTGAACTAGACTTCGCCCTCGAAGTCCCTTGGGATAAACAATGTCGGGTAATGCTCACGCATCTCCGCCTCCGGCTCCCATGTCCACTCGGATCCCCTCCGATGTTCCCACTGCACCTTCACCAAAGGTATTTCCTTGTTCCGAAGGATCTTCTTCTTCCTTTTCAAAATGGCCACCGGCCTCTCCACATAATTCAGGCGCTCATCGACCTGAATGTCGTCCAGTGATACCACTGCCTCCTAGTCCATGATACACTTCCGCAATTGCGAAACATGGAACGTGCTATGAATCCGGCTAAGCTCTTCCGGAAGCTCCAGCCTATACGCCACCTTGCCAACCCTGGCAACGATCCTGAACGGTCCAATAAAACGGGGACCCAGTTTTCCCCTCTTCCTAAAACGGATCACACCCTTCCAGGGTGAGACTTTCAAGAGTACGATGTCACCCACCTGAAATTCCAACTCAGATCGGCGTCTGTCGGCATAGCTCTTCTGCCGACTCTGAGCGGTCTGCAAACGCTGTCTAACCTACTGTATCTTTTCGGTAGTCTGCAGAACTACCTCTGTCCGCCCCATAACCCTGTGCCCAATCTTACCCCAGCAGACAGGGGTTCTACACTTCCGACCATACAATAACTCGAAAGGCGGGGCGCCAATACTGGAATGATAGCTGTTGTTGTAGGCGAACTTTGCAAGCGGTAGGTGGGAATCCCAACTCCCACCAAAGTCAATAACGCACGCCCTCAACATATACTCGAGGGTTTGGATGGTCTGCTCACTCTGCCCATCTGTCTGCGGATGGAAAGTTGTACTAAAATGCAGTCGCGTACCCAGTTCCTCATGGAACTTCTGCCAAAAACGGGAAGTAAACCTGACATCCCTATCGGAAACGATGGAAACTGGAACCCCATGGCGAGAGACAATCTCGCTGACATACATGTCGGCCAATTTCTCAGCCGACGAACTCTCCCGCATGGCCAAGAAATGGGCGCTCTTGGTCAACCGATCCACGATAACCCATATAGCATCAAACCCATTCGCCGTCCTCGGCAACTTTGTAATGAAATCCATCGTGATCTGCTCCCATTTCCACATGGGAATCTCCAGAGGCTGCAGCTTGCCATGCGGCCTCTGATGC